TACATTTTGCTCTAGAGATGTCCTATGTGTCCACAAGTTACGTGCATGCTGTGAAGGCGTTGTGTCGATGTGGTTGAACCTAGATGACCTAGAATAATCTGGGCGGGCCCAAGGCGATCCATTGAAAGGCCTCAACATCAAGTCTGAGGCTTCCATGAGAGAAGCAGCTTCAGCCCATGTCCCTAAGCTCTAGCCTGCCCTTCCTGACAGGGCGCCCTACTGTTACGTAATTCCTTACGTAATTCCAATTCCTTACAGCAAATCTCTTAATGTACCCCTTTTACTAGTTCTGTTTCTCTAGTTGAACCCGAATGATATACTTGCTTTATCACGCATTTACCCATCTATCTGTCTGCTAAGCCAGTGTATTTTTAAATGTATTTCAACATAGATTTCAGCCATCATATACTTTCTTCTAAATACTTTACCATGCGTATCGTTAACTAGAGTCCAATTTTTGTTTACAGTTTTCTTTTCTTGTAAAATTTACATGCATAGTAAAGTCTTAGAAAATGGTGGATAGGAAGATCCAGAGCTTGTTCCCCTCATTGAAATGACCATGAAACAGGAAAAAAGGATCAGAATCAACTACTTTGTAACTCTAGAATGTGATCAGACATTCATAGCAGCCAGGGGACTATCTGACAAACGGAGAGGCTGCCGATATCAGCTGCAGTTGCTTCCCTGGCCGCGTTTATTAGAAGGTTTAAAGAGACATACGCACCTTTTATTTTATTTTATTTGATCCATATATTTAAAGAAATCTGTATCTGGTCACAAGTTAACCACAGAGATAATGGAACAGAAACTGTAGTGACCACAAATAACAAGGAAAAATAAACTTTGAAAAATATTTTAGAAAAGTCACTTTACAAACAGACAACTGCAGCCATCAACAAGAAACAAAAGCAATTTCTGAGGAAGGGGAAATCTAATTTCACAGTTACCATATTATAATACTCAAATGTCCAATTACAAGTAAAAAATTACAAAGCATACAAAGAAACAAAATATGGCTCATTCACAGGAAAAAACTATTTGATAGAAATTATCTCTGTGAAAGCCCAGATACTGAGATTACTATGCAAAGACATTAAATCAGCTGTCTTAAATATTCTCAATGAGTTAAAAAAAAAAAAAAGAAAAGGGGGCTGGCCCCGTGGCCAAGTGGTTAAGTTCGTGTGCTCCGCTGCAGGCGGCCCAGTGTTTCATTGGTTTGAATCCTGGGTGCAGACATGGCACTGCTCATCAAACCACGCTGAGGCAGCATCCCACATGCCACAACTAGAAGAACCCACAACGAAGAATATACAGCTATGTAGCGGGGGGTTTGGGGAGAAAAAGGAAAAAATAAAATCTTAAAAAAAAAAGAGAGAAAATCTATGGAGAAAGATTAAAGGAAATCAAGAGAATAGTGTATGAACAAATAGGTAACGTAAAAAAGAGAGAGAAATTATAAAAAGGAACTAAATGGAAATTCTGGAGTTCACAAGTACAATAGCAGAAACGAAAATTCACTAGAAGGGTTCAGCAGCAGATTTGAACAGGCAGAAGAAAGAACTGACCAACTTGAAAATAAGCCAGTTGAAATTATCCAGTGTGAGGAGCAGAAAGAAAAAAGAATGAGGAAAAATGAACTGAACCTGAGGGAGCTGTGGGATACCAGCAAAAGAACCAAAATACGCATCAAGGGAGTCCTGGGGGAGAAGAGAGATAGAAAGAGGCACAAAAAAATACTTGAAGAAATAATGGCCAAAAACTTTCCAAATTTGATGAAACACATAAATCTCCACATCCAAGAGGCACAACAAACTCTAAAGAAGATAAACTCAAAGAGATCCACATTGAGATATATTATAATCAATAAGTCAAAGCCAAAGACAAGTGGCTGGCCTGGTGGTGTAGTGGTTAAGCTCTCACGCTCCACTTCAGGGGCCCAAGGTTTGCAGGTTCGGATCCTGGGTGTGAACCTAGCACTGGGCAGCATCCCACATAAAATAGAGGAAGATGGGCACAGATGTTAGCTCAACAACAATCTTCCTCAAGCAAAAAGGGGAAGATTGGCAACAGATGTTAGCTCAGAGCCAATCCTCCTCACACACACACACACACACACACGCACAAAAGCCAAAGACAAAGAAAGAAATTTGAAAAGCGGCAAGAGAGAAGCCACCTGTCACATACAAGGGCTCTCTAATAAGATTAACTGTTGATTTCTCATCAGAAACCATGGAGCCCAGAAGGCAGTGGGATAACATAGTTAAAGTGCTAAAGAATAAATACTGTCAACTAGGGGGCCAACCCCATGGCTGAGTGGTTAAGTTCGCGAGCTCCACCTTTGGCAGCCTGGGGTTTCACTGGTTTGGATCCTGGGCGCAGACATGGCACTGCTCATCAGGCCACATTGAGGTGGTGTCCCACATGCCACAACTGGAAGGACCCACAACTAAAAGTATATACAACTATGTACTGGGAGGATTGGGGGAGAAAAAGCAGGGGAAAAAAAAAAAGAAAAAAAATCTGTCAACTATGCAGTGGTGAAGTTTGCACATTTGGCTTCTCCGTGGCCCAGGGTTCACCAGTTCGGATCCCGGGTGCAGACATGGCAGTGCTTGGCAAAAGCCATGCTGTGGTAGGTGTCCCACATATAAAGTAGAGGAAGATGGGCACGGATGTTAGCTCAGGGCCAGTCTTCCTCAGCAAAAAGAGGAGGACTGGCAGTAGTTAGCTCAGGGCTAATCTTCCTCAAAAAGCCCCAAATAACCTGTCAACTAAAAATTCTATATCTGGCAAAACTATCCTTCAAAACTGAAGTAGAAAATTAAACATTCCCAAATAAACAAAAGCTAAAGGAGTTAGTCATTAGCAGACCTGCTCTATAAGAAATGCTAAAGAGAGTCCATCAGGCTGAGATAAAGGGACACCAGGCAGTAACTCAAAGCCATATGAAGAAGGAAAGAACACTGGTAAAGGTAACTACATAGGTAAATATAAAAGCCAGTATTACTGTAATTTTGGTTTGTAACTCTTTTTTTTCTATATGATTAAAAGGCAAATACATAAAACAATAATTATAAATCTATGTTAATGGGTACACAATGTATGAAGACGTAATTTGTGACAATAATATAAAGAGGGAGCCATGGAGAAGACTAGAAGCACAGTGTTTGTGTACTATTTAAACTAAGTTGGTTTATTCAAACTATGTCGGTCTAAGTTTAAGATGTTAATTGTGATCCACAAGGCAACCACTAAGAAAATAACTTAAAAATATACAGAAAAGGAAATAAGAAGGAAATAAAAATGATACACTACCCCCCCCCCAAAAAAAAGCAGTAATGGAGGAATTGAGAAACAAGAAACATATAAGGCATACAGAAAACAGATAAATGTGGAAGAAAATCCTTCTTCTGAAAACTGCAAAACGTTGCTGAAGGAAATTAAAGAATACCTAAGTGAGGGTAAAGACATCTGTGATCCTGTGTTCATGGATCAGAAGAATATCGTTAGTACTGTCAATACTACCCAAAGCATTGTACAGAATCAGTGCAGTCCATATTAAAATACCAATGGCATTTCTTGCAGAAGTAGAAAAACCCAACCTGAAATTCATATGGAATCTCAAGGGAACCGGAATAGCCAAAACAATTTTGAAAAAGAACATAGTTGGAAGACCTACACTTCCCGATTTCAAAGCCTATGACAAAGCTACAATAACCAAACAGTGTGGCGCTGGCATAAGGAGAGACATGTAGGCCAAGGAAATGGAGTGGAGAGCCTGGAAATAGACCCTCCCAATTATGTTCAATTGATTTTAGACAAGGGTGCCAACACCAGTTAATCGGGAAGTAATACTTTCTCTAACAAATAGTGCAAGAAAACTGGATATCGGTTTGCAGAATGAAGTTGGAATTTTACCTTACTCCATATGCAAAAATTTACTCAAAAAAGGGGCTAGCTTTAAATTCGGCCGCTCTGCTTTGGCGGGCTGGGTTTGGTTCCCGAACACGGACCTACACCACTCGTTGGTGGCCTTGCTGTGACAGCGACCCATAAACAAAATAGTGGGAGACTGCCACAGATGTTAGCTCAGGGCAAATCTTCCTCAAGCAAAAAGAGGAAGATTGGCAAAAGATGTTAGCTCAGCGTGAGTCTTCCTCAGGAAAAAAAAAATCTACTCGAAATGGATCAAAGACCTAAATTTAAGAGCTAAAACTTTTAGGAGAAAATATAAGAGAAAATCTTTGTGAACTTGGATTTGGCAATGGTTTCTTAAATATGACACCAAAAGCAAAAGCAACGAAAGAAAAAATAGATAAATTGGACTTCATCAAAATTAAAAACTTTTGTGCATCAAAAGACACTATAAAGAAAGTGAAAAGACAACCCATAGAATGGGGGAAAATATTTGCAAATCATATATATGACAAGGGATTAATACCCAGAATATATAAAGAACTCCTACAACTCAACAATAAAAAGACAAACAACCCAATTTAAAAATGGGCAAAGGACTTAAATAGACATTTCTCCAAAGAAGACATACAAATGGCCAAGAAACATGAAACAAGAAACATGAAAAGATGCTCAGCGTCATTAGGCATCAGGGAAACGCAAATCAAGACCACAATGAGACACCACTTCACACCCATTAGAAGGGCTATAACTTAAAAAAACAAAAAAGAAAAATAACACGTTGGCAAGGATACGGAAAAATTGGAACCCTCACGCCCTGCTTGCGGGAATGTAAAGTGGTTCGGCTGCTGTGGAAAGCAGTTTGGCAGCTCGCCTAAATGTTAAACATAGAGTTAGCATATGACCCAGTAATTCCACTGGGTGGTATTTACCCAAAAGAACTGAAAACAACCATTCGAACATACCTGTTTTGACAGGTATGACACACGCTCCAACATGGATGAACCGTGAAAACACTATACTGAGTAAAATAAGCCAGACACAAAGGACAGACGCTGTAAGATGCCACTTACTTGAAATATGTAGTGAGGAGTCGGGCTCCGGGTTAAACGTCTTTGTGCGACTTTTTGGCCGCCACAGGCCATTACAAACGCTTTCCCTGGTGGCCATGCGGGGAGGGGTGGGGAAGCTCCCTTCCCCCAGCAGCCCGGCCCGGCGGCGGGCACTGCGGGCTCTGAGGGAGCTGCAGGCGAGGACTCTGCCCCTGGCCGGCCTTCTCCTCGCCCATTTACATTCCTAGCCGGGTGCCTCCATTCCTAGGTCGCTATCTGCGACCTCAGGCAGGGCTCTTCTCCAGGCGCCTCTGTGAGGCCTCTTTAGGTGGGGATGAGGGGGGACCACCAAGATACTGCCCCCCTGACTCAGGGCCCAGTGCTCCTCCACTCCCCGCTGTCCTCCTCCACACCCACCCCTCCTCCTCCCTGTGGGGTCCCCTCAACACGTGCTCTGCTCCACCTGACCCTCCACAGGTGCGCCACTCATGGGGGAAGATGGAACGGGGCGTCGGTGCCTTCTCGCTTCTGTCACCGCAGTAAGTGATTAAAGCTTCCCCCTTTCGTCTTTGGCTTGTTGCTTTCACCCGCTGCCCCAGCACTGACAGCTCAGCTCCGTCTCCCAGCACAGCGCAGCTCCGGGCATCTAGAATAGGCAAATTCTAGAGACAGAAAGTAGATGAGAGGTTACAGGGGCTGGGGGAGGGGGAAGTGGGGAGTTACTGCTTAATGGGGACACAGTTCTGTTTGGGGCGATGAGGTTTCAAGTATAGTGGTGACGGTTGCCCAACATTGTGAATGTAATTAATGGCACTGAATTGCACACTTAAAAATGGTTAAAATGAAAACTTTATGTAACATATTTTACCACAATAAAAAAATGGAGGGTCCACTGAGTGGCATAGTGGTTAAGTTTGCGCGTTCCCCTTCTGCGGCCTGCAGTTTGTGGGTTCGAATCCCGGGCGTGGACATACACGGCTCACCAGGCCACGCTGTGGCGGCTCTTACATACAAAATAGAGGAAGACTGGCACGCTGTTAGCTCGGGGACAGTCTTCCTCAGCAAAAAAAAAAAGGGGGGGATATTATATACAATGAAATGTGCACATATTAGCTGTCATATTCTGTGTTTTGACAAAAACGTACATGAGTATAATTTGAAATATGTCAAGATACAGAAGATCATCATAACCCAGAAAGTACCCTCATGCCCTTTTCTATTCAATCCCCACCTGCAGTCTCCTAGAGGCATCCCCTGTTCTGATTTTCTTCCAACGCAGATTTATTTTGCCTCTTCTAGGACTTCCTATAAATGTGGTCATACTCTACGCTTCCTTTGTGTAAGGCTCCTTTCACTCAGGGCAATGTTTCTGAGGTTCACCTTTACTGTGGGCAGCGGCAGCTCGTTCCTTCCCGTTGGTGAGTAGATTCCAGTGAGGGAACGAACCGCGGTTTGTTCCAACGTGCTCCTACTGGTGCTACGAGGGCTCTTTCCAACTGGGGGCTGTTATGAATAAAGTGGCTGTGAACATGACCGTGCAAGACTTTTTGTGAAAATGTCCTTTCATTTCTCTCAGCACGCATCAGAGAGTGGAACTCTGTGTCATCGGGTAGGCATCGTTTAGTTCTCCAAGAAACTCCCAGACCTTTTCCCAAAACGGTTGTCCCATTTCACGTTCCCACCAACAACGTCTGAGATTTCCAGCTCCACATCCTCAGAAATCTTTAATGCTGTCAGGTATTTCAATTTTAGCCGTTCTGATGCGTGTGTAATGGATGTGTGCTATAGTTTTAATTTACACGTCCCTGATGTTGAACATAGTCATGTTGAATATTTTTCATTATTGGCTATTCATACATCTTCTTCAGTAAAGTGCCTGTTCCAATCTTTTGCCTGTTTTAAAATTTAGTTGCTAGTCTCAGCCTTATTGATTGGAGGCTTTTTAAAAATAGGCGTTCTGCAAAAGGACTATATGCCTATTTTAAAAATAGGCATATTCTGGGCACTAGTCCTTTTTCAGATATATGTTTTGCGAATATTTTCTCCCAGTGTGGCTTGCCTATTTATTTTTCTTAACGAAACCTGATGATGAGCAGGAGTTTTTTATTTAATAAAATTTCATTTATCAAATTTTATCTTATTCTCTGTGACCTAAGAAATTTTTGTCGACCCCTCAAATCCTGAAGACATTCTCCTGTTTTCCTTCAGAAGCTTATGGCTTTGTCTAGTATGCTTATCACTATGATTCGTCTTGAATTCATTTTGAGTTTTGTGTGGTATGAAATGGGCACTGAGGCTCATTTTTTTCCGTAAGAACGTATGGCGATTCCAGATCCATTTGTGGAAAAGATTTTCTTTTCTTCATTGGATTGCTTTGATGCCTTTTTCAAAATCAACTGACTGTGGAAATACGGCTCCATTTCGGGGCTTTCCCTTCTATTCTGTTGGTCTGTCGGTCCTTTCGCCAGGACCACACTTTCTTGATTATGGTGGTTCTATGGTCGGTATTAAAGTAAGATAATGTAAGTTCTTTTTCTTCTTCATTTTTTAGACTGCTTTGGATATTCTAAGTCTTTTGAATTTTCAAATAAATTTTAGGATCAGACTGTGAATTTCCACTAAAATCCTGCTTGGATTACAATTGAGATTGTGTTCAATTTATAAATTTGGGCAAACCCAGCCCGTGGCAGCCAGCCACCTATTTTGTAAATAAAGTTTTATTGGAACACAGCCCTGCCTGTTCCTTTCTTTATTGTCTGTGGCTGCTTTCACGCTACAATGACAGAGTTAAGAGGTTGCAACAGAGACCATATGGCACACAAGCCTAAAATAATTGCTATCCAGCCCTTTAAGAAGAAGTGTGCCAATCCTATGGATCCGTGCGGGAGGAAGTTGGTGTCTTCGGGGTAGTGTGCCTTCCACATCTTGAGCATGGCATTTTGCTCTGTTGATTTAAATATCCCGTAATTTCTCTCAACAATGTTTTATAGTTTTCAGTGTAGGTCTTGCAAGTCTCTTGTTACTTCTAATTTCACGGTTTGGGGGAGACTAGTATAAATGGAAATGTTTTAAGATTTTATTTCCAGTTGTTTGCTCTCAGTATATAAAATACAGTTAAATTTTGGACAGTAATTTTGTATCCTGTGGTTCTAGTAGCTGTAGAATCCGTAGGATTTTCTATCTAAATAATCTTGTCATCAACAAAGAGAGTCAGTTTTAATTCTTCTCTCAGATTTTTGTGCCTTTTTTCCCTTGCCTTATTGCAGTGGCTAGGACCCCCAGTACAATGTTAAATAGATTTGGTATTACTTTGTTCCCAGTCTTACGGAACACTATTAAACAGGATATTAACGGTAGGTTTTTTTTTTTTAATAGATGGGCTTTATCAGATTGAGGAATTTCCTTATTATTCCTAGTTTACTAACAGTTTTTATTGTGAATGTGTTGAGTTTTGTCAAATGCTTTTCCTGAATTTACTGAAGTATGGTTATCCTTTATGATGCTAGTATGGTGAATTACATTGATTTTCAAATGCCAAACCCATTTTGCATGACTGGGATAAATCCCACTTGCTCATAATGTATTATCCTTTTCATCTGCTGCTAGATTGAATTTGCTCATATTTTCTTATGGAGTTTTCCACCCAAGCGAAGACTATTCGCTTGCAATTTTTAAAATGTGTTTTTTAAGTTTTGGAACCAGAGTTCTACGGACTCAATGAAATGACTTGGAAAGTGTTCCATCCTCCTCTGTTTTTAAAAATAATTTGTTTAAGATATGTGTTATTTCTTCCTTAAATATTTGGTAGAATCTACCAGTAAAATCATCTGGGCCTAGAGTTTCTTTGTGGAAGATTTTTTTTTTTTAATGAATTCAACTTCTTTAATAGACACAATTCTATTTATATTTTCTATTTTATCATCTTGTGTCAGCATTTTACAAGGAATTTGTCCCTTTCTTCTAACCTGTTGAATTTGTAGCGCTGACATTGTTCAGAATATTCTCTAATTCTTCTTTTAATGCTGTCAATTTCTGTTGCAATAGCCCTCTTTCATTCCTAATCTTACTAACTTGTGTATTTCTGTTTTTTCTTAATTGCTCTAGCTAAGGTATATCAATTTTGTTGATCTTTTCAAAGAACTACTTTTTGGCCTTGCTGTTTTAACAATTATTTTGTTTTGTTTTGTTTTTTGTTTCTGGAACTGGAATTTCCTTTCTTCTACTTACTTTGAGGTTACTTTGCTCTTCGCTTTCAGCTTCCTAAGGTTGATCCTCAGGTACTTGACTTTAGGCACTTATTTCTTCTTTTCTCATACAGGCATTTAGGACTCTAAGTTTTCCTCTAAGCATTGCCTTAGCTCCTCAAATTTTGATATTTTTGTTATTCAGTTCAAAATCTTTTCTAATTTTTCTTGTGATTATTTCTTTGACTCATGAGTTACTTGGCTTATGTACCTTCTGTATATCTTCCTTGGTGAGGTGTCTGTCCAGGCTTTTTGCCCATTTTTTTCAGGGGAGAACGTGAACACAGAGCAGTCCCCTCCTAGGACACGTGGGGAAATCACAGGGGTGAGCATTGGATGAGCCTTGTCCTGGGGAAACCACCTTTGTGATCACGGCATCTCATCTGCCAGGTAAACTTTTTCGCCCATTTTAAAATCAGAGTTATGGGGCTGGCCCCGTGGCCGAGTGGTTGGGTTCTCACGCTCCACTTCGGTGGCCAGGGTTTCACCGCTTTGGATCCTGGGCGCAGACATGCCACTGCTCGTCAGGCTATGCTGAGGCAGCGTCCCACATGCCACAACTAGAAGGACTCACAACTAAAATATACAACTATATACTGGGGGGCTTTGGGGAGAAAAAGGAAAAACAAAAAAATCTTAAAAAAAAATAAAATCAGAGTTTGTTTTCTTATTGTTGAGTTTTAAGCTATCAATTCCTCTTCTTCTTTTTTTTTTTTTTTTTTTTAACCCTCTCTCCCCGCCTTCTGTCCTTCTGGGAGTCCAATTGCATTTATGTTACCCTTTTTGATATTGTCCCATTGATCCCTGGGGTTCTATTTGGTTTTTATTTTTCCTATTCTTCAGATTGAATAATTTCTATTGCCCTACCCTCAAGCTCACTTACTACTTTGCTGTCATCTATGTTTGGTTGTTAAACCCAATCTAGTGAATTCTTTTTTTTTTTTTTTGAGGAAGATTAGCCCTGAGCTAACATCTGCTGCCAATCCTCCTCTTTTCGCTGAGGAAGACTGGCCCTGAGCTAACACCCATGCCCGTCTTCCTCTACTTTATATGTGGGACACCCACCATGGCATGGCTTGACAAGCAGTGCCATGTCCGCACCCGGGATCCCAACCGGCAAACCCCGGGCCACCAAAGCAGAACATGGGAACTTTGCTGCACCACCAGGCTGGCCCCTCCAGTGAATTCTTTATGTTAGGCATCCTGTTTTTCAGTTGTGGAATTTCCTCTTGGTTCTTTTTTTAGTTTTTATTTCTCTGCTGAGGTTTCCTATCTTTTCATTCATTGTGAGATATTTTTCTTTATGTCAGGGGTCAGCAAATGACAGTCTGTGGATTTAATTTGGCTCACTGTCTGTTTTTGTAAATAAAGTTTTACTGAAAAGCAGCTATATCTTTTGTTTACACACACTATCTTATGACTGCTTTCACAGTACAATTTCAGGGTTGAGCAGTTGCAACAGAGATCCTGTGTGACTCACAAAGCCAAAAACATTTGCTATCTGACCTTCTACAGAAAAAATTTGCTGACTTCTTCTTTACATCATTGAGCATAACTGTGATCACTGCCTTAAAATTCTTGTCTGCTATATAATATCTGGGTCATCTTGGGAGTAGTCTCTAAGGATGCTTTCCTCTCTTGAGAATGGGTCATTTCTTCCCGGCTCTTCAGAGTGGAGTAATTTTTTATTGTGACGTAGATAATGTGACTGGTATGTCGTGGAGACTCTAAACTCTGTTACAGTCTTCTGAAGAGTGTCTTAGAAAAAACTGTCTTTTTTAGTAGACAATTAACCTGCTCACTTGAACTCAGACTTTAGATTCTGTCTTTTTGGATGGCTGCTCAAATCTCAGTTCAGTTCTCTATTCTTTGCTGGGCTGCTTCGAGCCTGCCGGCGCAGGCGCCGTTCAGGGATAAGCCAGAGACTGGGGAACCGTCTATACGGGCTCCTTACAGGAGAATTTAGGGCTTCTTTTCTCTGTCTCCTCTTTTTTCCAGAATCCCTTGCTCACTTTCTAGCAGCTGTGGTTTGCCTGAACTCTGTCCTCCAGGTGTTGAGGTCAGAAAGACTGCAGGGTTTTTATTGGAGTTTTAGCCACCCCATGCCACACGGACTATTGCTCACCTTTAAGCTAAAAGCTATAGAAACAGGAAATTCATTCCAAGTTAGCCCTTCTCTCCGGTGTCGACTACTCTCCAGAGACTCTTCGCTCTCTAGTATCTTATGGTCATTGCTTTGTTTTATTTAATTTTGTTCAGAGTTTCTAGTTCTCTGCAGACAGGTCAGTTCCAGTAGGTGCTTACTCTGGCACAGCAGGAACAGAATCCTTTTCAATCTCTTTTAAGCTATAGGTGTCTCATTCCTCTGTTTTTTCCTTCCTTGTAATTTACTTGTTTAAGAAATTGGATAGTTTGTCCTATGGAGGTCTCCGCAACATTGTGCGTGTATGCGTGTGTGTGTGTGTAGATAGATAGATAAATAGATAGATAGATAGATAGATAGATAGATAGATAGAGCTATATATTTTTTTAAAGATTGGCACCTGAGCTAACATCTGTTGCCAATCTTTCTTCTTCTTCTTCTTCTCCCCAAAGTTCTCCAGCACATAGTTGTATATTTTTAGTTGCGGTTCCTTCTAGTTGTGACACGTGGGACGCCTCCTCAGTATGGCCTGATGAGCGGCGCCATGTCTGCGCCCAGGATCTGAACCAGCGAAATCCCGGGCTGCCGAAGCAGAGAGCACGAACTTAACCCCTTGGCCAGGGTGCTGGCCCCCCATTATATATCTTGCTATTGCATCCCCATGATGTGATTTTATTCTAAAAAACATTTCACCATATGTGCCTCAAATCTCTTTTTTGAAGAAATGAAATGTTACACTGTTGTGTTCTTTATGTGAGGTATTGCATTGAAAGGATGTTCCATAATATATCTATCCAGACTCCTGCTTATTGTTTCAAACAACGTTACAATGTATGTGACCAACAGTGAAGTAGGGTTACTTTGTCAGTGGCGCATGCCTGTCCATTTTTATGGATATTGCCCAAATTGTCCTCCAGGAGCTTACTGCTGTCCACCCTTTCACGTGCCTGCCTTTCACGTGCCTGCCTCCCCAAAGGTCATTGCCATGTCATTACTTCTAAAAGTCTGTGTGTTAGTGTCCTAGGGCTGCCATGACAAACTGCCACAGCCTGGGGGTTTAAAACAACAGACATCTATTCTCTCAGAGCTCTAGAGGCTGGAAGTCTAAAATCGAGGTGCTGACAGGGTTGGTTCCTACTGGAGCCTCTGACAGAGATTTCTGCTACAGGCTCTTAACATGAGCCCTGATATCTGTTCCCCCACATTGAACGCAGCGTATATGGGGTTAAAACTAACCCCCCCACCCCCTTTCCTGCTTCTCTAGCTCCGCTCATATGTAAACACCTCTTTCTTTAACCTTTGCCTCCTTGAGCTTTATAACTAAATGGGAGTTACAAATTGTGAAAAGCCCAGGTGGCCTGGAATGGGAGGCACACTAAAGTTTAGCTGATCATATGTCCTTGAAGTCTGCCAGGAAAGCCGCTGTCTCAAGAATATCAAGGAGGGCAGGCTTCCCAGACCTCAACTCCTCACTCCCGGCGCACGAACCTGCCTCAAACAGGAAGACGAGACAAGAGACAACGATGAAGGACGCCCACCTGCCATCCTCCTATCCCCCCACCCCCCACCCCCGCCTCACTGCAAGCAGCCTCTCAAGGCCAAACGCAGGCTGGTGGAAAAGCACCGAGCTGCACAAGCTACGTGTTCCCCCTCACCTACCCAAAACCCCAAATAAAAACCCCTACCCATTCCTTGTCGGGGAGCCAGCAATTTCTGAGGCATGAGCCCTTGCTTTGCTCCCTGTGCCTGGCATAGTAAAGACTTTCCTCTTCCACTCAAGACCGTTCTCGTTATTTGAATTGGCATCGGGTTCAGGGACTGAACTTTCGGTTATACTTCCACGCTTCTTTCCTAGCTTCCACCAGCTGCTGGCCACCCTGGGCAATCCTTGGCTTGCAGGCGCATCAGTCCCGTCTCTGTCTCCATCTTCACACGGCCTTCTCCCGTGTTGCTGTGTGTCTCTGTATCTCTGTTTTCTCTCCTACTTCAGTCCCGCTGGCAGGGTTTCTGTGGAAACGGTTGGTTAGATCTGCAAGTCACACTCCTAATCTCTCCGGCAATTCATTCCTCCATTTACCTCTTTCCTCTTGCATTTTCCTATAAGCAGGAAAGAGAAACCAGGCTGCACCTTCCACATTTTGCTAGGCAATCTCCTCACCAAAATATCCAAGTTCACCCCTTGTAAGTTCTACTTTCTACCTGACAACAGAACACAATTCTGCCAAGTTTCCGTCACTTTATAACAAGCACTGCTTTTCTGCCAGTGTCCAATAACGTGTTCATCATTTCCTCGAAAGCCTCCCCAGCAGCACCTTCAGCGTTCGTAAACCAGGCCCCACACCAACATTCTGTGCAGATAATATACATGTTCCTTAAGGGAACAGACGCTTTCTTACAGCCCTCCTGACTCTTTCAGAAGCTCTCACAGAATCGCCTTGAATGTCTCTGTTTCTATCAACAGACTCTTCAAGGTGTGAAAATTAATAAAGGGAAACCTTACACAAAATGGAGTGGGGAGGCCAGAAGGGGGAGCCCTCAGCACTACCGCTCTGCGTCAATTCCAGGAAAGATCGTCCGTCACAGGCCCCGGAAGAGACGTCCACTGCCTTCCAGACAAGAAAGACCACTCCAGCAACCCAGCCAACGAGAAACAGTCACCACCCTGAACAAGACCTTGTTTTCCACCAATGGGCTTCTGTTCAAAACAACCCTCCCAACTTCCTCCTTTTTCTCTATAAAATAAAGTCCCTCTCCTTTGTGTGCTAGACTTGACTGTGGCTTTTGCTATAGTGTGCTTGTCCCAAATTGCAATTCCTTTCCTATTCCCAAATAAACTGATTTTGCTGGTAAAATAACTGGCTGTTTTATTTTTAGGCGGACAAACGCAATTTAGCCTTTTTCTATCAAACGTCTCAAAATTCTTCCCATAACCCAATTCCAAAGGCTCTTCCACATTTTTGAAGGCATTTATGACAGCAGTGCCCCACTTCCAGTACCAAAAACTGCATTAGTGTCCTGTGGCTACCATAACAGTTTGCCACAAACCAGGTGGTTTAAAACAACACAAATGTGGTCTCTCCCAGTTCTGGAGGCTGGAAGTCTGAAATCAAGATGGCGGCAGGGCCACGCTCTCTCTAAAGGCTCTAGGGGAGAATCCTTCCTTGCCTTTTCTAGCTTCGGTGGTTGTCAGCAACTCTTGGCATTCCTTGGTTTGTAACTGCAGCACCCCAACCTCTCCCTCCGTCTTCACGTGCTATTTTTCCCAATGTGTCTGTGTGTCACCAAACCCTCTCTCCCTCTCTCCTTATAAGGACATCAGTCATTAGATTTAGGGCTCATCTTAATTTAGTATGACCTCATCTTAACTTGATTGCCTCCGCGAATACCCTATTTCTAAATAAAGTTACATACGTAGGTACTGGGAGTTAAGACCTTAAAATATCTTTGGCAGGGGAGGGCACAGTTCGACACACAATGAAAGTCTCTAGATTTTTGACTTTCTTTGTCTCCATCCTGCAGCTGAGACCTTCCATCGTCTGGTGTGATTTCCTGATGCCAACAGCCAGGTAGACACATACCTGGATACCACATAGCTTGTTGGAAACTGTCTCCTCAGGACTCTTTCCTTCTGTTAGCTTGGACTCCCATGTTCCACCTGGTGCCAAATTAGCTGTTTGTCAGCATCCCTTCTCCCTTTTTCTAGTACCAGCCGTTTTGAGTATCTTCCTTCCCACTCAGCGCGGCCTTCCTGGGGCTGCATATCCAGGTGCCCTGCATTCTGCTGGCTACAGGGGGCGAGGTAACTCAAGGTCAGCCAATCAGACTTGTCCTGCTGGGCCTTTGACCCCTAGGTAGAGTAGCCGGATGAGGGAAGAGAGATGGAATAAAGGCAACTTTGTGTCGGAGTCCCCAAGACCAGTCTCAGGTTCAGTGATTTACTGGAAGGACTCATAAAGCTCAGAAAAGCTGTTATATTGATGGTTACAGTTTGTTACAGTGAAGGGATAGGGATTAAAACCAAAAGAAAAACGTGCAATAGGGCAGAGTCCGGGGGAAGCCAAGGTGAGCTCCCAGTCGTCCTCTCCCAGTGGAATCGCATGGACAGTGCTTCATTCTCCCTGCGACAGTGAGTGACAACACGCACAAAGTATTGTCACCCAGAAGAGCTCACCCAAATCTTGGTTTCCAGGGTTTTAATTGGGTGTCAGTCACTTAGGCATGGAGTGTCCACACGACTAACCTCAGCTTCTCCTTCTCCAGCCCCTACCCATCCAGAGGTCAGTGATACAGCATGGCCCAGGGCTCCTAGCACACAGAGACAGGCGTTCACTCTCAATCACATTGTCAGCAGAAATGATGGGCATGGCCAAAGTTCCAAGTCAACAATGACACTCTTATTAGGCAGGATATTCCAAGGGCTCAGACGTCATCTCCCAGGAGATGATCAAGGCTGGTTCTTTCTTTGGAACGTGCAGAATTTCAGCAACTCGAGCCTGCTAAGTTGACCCTTTATTATACACACTTGACAGTCAACGTTTCCTGAGAAGAGCGGGAATTCGAACTCCACTTCTGAGATGGGAGGTCTGCGGGGAAAACACATTATCTTAAAGAAGGCAAATCACTTCTCTGACTGGTGAGTTTGGGAGACACAACTGAGTCTGTCTTGTTCACCCCCTCGGGGTCACCCTTGCAGCTCTGCCTGCCTGTGCTCTACCCTGTGATTTCTACAACACACCAGACCCGCTTCGGCCCCAGGGCCTCTGTCCCTGCTGCTCCTCCGCCAGGAGCGTTCTCGGCCCGCGCACCTCCCAGCTTCATTTCTGCTTTCCTGAGCTTCGCAGGGGCTAGTGGACATTTCCCTCGTTCTTCAGAGCAGCAATCATTTGAACCGGGACAAAGCTGAGAGGTCAATTTGATGACCAAGCCTGGGGTGTGGTCACCAGTGGTTCCTGTCTAAGAGAAAAACTGAGCTCTGCAACCTCATTGAAGGGCTCACGGCAGCTTGAGTCAGAAGAAAAGCGCCTGCTCTCCACAACCTGCCTCTCCCTGGCTGTTTAGAGAGCCTCTATGTCGTGACCCAGTTGCAGCTAGAAGATATGTTCAAGTCCTAACTCCCAGTACTTGTGAACGTGGCCTTATTTGGAAATAGGATCTTTGCAGATGTAATCAAGTTAGAGTGAGGCCACACTCGATTGGACTGGACCCTGATCCGATGACCAGTGTCCTCAAAAAAAAAAAGAAAACACAAAAAAGGAAAAGGAAACAAAGACAGACACACAGAGGAGAGAAGACCACGAGAAGATGGAGGCAGAGACTGGAGCGATGCATCTACGAGCCAAGGGACACCGAGGATCATGGCAACCCCCAGAAGCTGGGAGGGAGCGTGGAATAGGGTCTCTCTCAGAGCCTCCAGTAGGAACCAGCCCCACAGACACCTTGATGTCAGACTTATAGCTCCAGGACTGTGAGAGAATGTATTTCTGTTGCTGTAATTTTGAGGTGCATGATGGAAACAGGCTAGAGTGCTTTGAAGAGATTGTTGATAGAACTATGCACGTGAAAGGTGATTCTGGTGAAAGCTCAGAAGGAAATAAGGAGAGCTGTAGAGAAAGCTCCTGTCATCCCAGAGAATCCATATGTCATTGTGAACAGACTGCCTGGCATGTGAACGTTCAGGGTGGATATTTGAGGCCTCAGAAGGAAATGATGAGCATGCTGTTAGACACTAGAAGAAAGACAATCCTTTCTAAAAGTGGCAAAAAGTTGGCTGAATTGTGTTCCTCTGTTGGGTGGAAAGTAGAACTTATGAGGGATGAACTCGGTTCTTCAGGTGAGGGGATTTCCAAGCAAAGCGTGAAAGGTAAAGTCTGCTTTCCCCTCATTGCTTATAGTAAAAGTGAGAGGAAAGAAATGAATGGAGGAATAAATCGTTAGCAAAAAGGAATCAGAACTTGATGCTTGGGGAGATTCTCCATGTATCCACATGCAAAAGACACTAAAGCATGCTCTGGAGAGAACACCAAGGGTGTGGCTGGACAACCTGCTGGTCACATTAAGTATATGACTCATGGATCTAACCAAGTGTCTCTGCAGAAGCCGGGAATAGAGCTGCAATTACCCAGGAGGTATCTGTGGAGAGCCTTGTGTTTGATGGTGTGGATCCCCTTGACATACATAGGAGACCCACAATGGTTTTGAGAATGGTATAGCACCAAAAACACTGCCCGCTTGGATTGAAGAGGAGAGAGACAGGATGAAATGAAGGAAGGCTGTCAGACTTCTGGGATTCTAAAGGTAGAAAAGGGAAGAATGGTCTGGTGTCTCAGAGGTCGGGGAGGCTGACAGGGTGTTTGCCTCTGTAGGCCTACAAGTGGGGGTCAATGGGACTGCCACAGGCCCGGAAGTGAAGCTTCAAGCCCTGGAAGATTGTTTTCAGGCCGTGAACCCTAATTGATTTTGCCCTGCTGGATTTTGGCTTGCTTGGGACCTGTGGCCTTGTCCAAAAGCATTGCCCACTTACAGCCTCCAAAATTCATTCTGTTTGTTCCACTTGGTCACTTGCAGTCAGCCATTTGTAAGGGAACAGACAGGTGACATGTTTATTAGCAGCTGTGCAGGGTCCTTTTCCTCTTGTATTTGGTGACTATTTCTCCAGAATTTCTGGCAGCTTATGTCTGGGGAATCTCATTTGGCATCCCCCCCAGTTGGCTGGTCTGGAAGGAGAGTATGTTAGCTTCCTGTAGGTGCTGTAACAAATCACCACAAATTTAGTGGCTTAAAACACAAATTTATTCCCTGGAGGATATTTCTGGAGGTCAGAAGTCTGAAATCCGTTTCACCTCCCGTAAGTGAGGGTGTTGGCTGGGCTGGCTCCTTCTGGAAGCTCAAGGGGAGAATGATGTCCTTGCCCCTTTCAGCTTCTAGGAACCGCCTGCATCCCTTGGCTGCGGCCCCTTCTTCTCACTCCTGCAACCTCTTCCACTGTCGCATCTCCTGCTCCTGCTAACTGACCCTCCTGCCTTGCCCGTGGTTGCCTCAGGCCACCGGGACAATCCAGGATCCCCTCCCATCTCAAGTTCCTGCGGGTTAGGATGTGGATGTCTTGAGCTGTCATTACTCAGCCCACCCCTTTGGAGTTCCAGGACCTTGGTTAGAATCCTTGTTCTGCCCTACTCCTTTTGCTTTCTGAGCTCCGTCCTTGAAAGGGAAACAAACAACATCTATGATTTCATTAAATGAAATTAAATGAGACGATGTTGGTTAATGCCCAGACCAGTGTCTGGCACACGTCAATCGGTCCCTCAACAAATGTCAGGGCTCCTCTCTCGCTACATCCTTTCGTTGGCCTCTGACCCAACCACCTCCCTACTCATGCGACCCGTTTCCCAGCGTGGAAAGTGACCTGATGATACTGTCAGTACTGGCCTCAGCTGGTGGACCCCCAGAGCCTCAGTAGGGCTCCATACATAGGAAGATGCTATAATAGTTTGCTGAGTCAAAGTTCATATACTCATTCAACAAACATTACTCAAGTTTATGAAGAGGCAGGAATAGGTGTTCTTTTCAATCCGGTGGCACATTAGAATAATTTCAGGAGCTTAAACAAACAAACGAATGGTGCCTCTGTCTCACCCCAGAATGATTAAAAGGGATTTGAAAGGCACAGGGTGTGAACCTTTAGAGACAGTCCCCCAGTGATCCTAAAGAGCAGTGGGGGCTGCAGAGTGCTGCTCTGCACCAGGATGTGCACTCCTGGGCCCCGTAGGGGTGGCATCTTTGCAGGAAGGGAGACAAGCTGTGAGAGAAGTTTGGTGCTGTACAGGAAATAAAGCCTGACGC